CTGGCCACAGTATTGGCTCTGCACCAATACTATAAGCAATAAGCGGTATCTAGCAACACATTATTGCCCCCAGATTATAAGTTAAGACGTTTGCACCGTCAAAACCTTTCCACGACTCAGACTCCGTGTAACTGTATCCCTTTGTCTCAATGTCTAAACTTAATGCAAGGGATTAATAAAATCCAGCTTGTATCCATTAAGTCATTCACTGATTTATCAAGTCTGACTAATAGGAACAGACGTCATAAAAGCATCTCAGCATGGCCATGCAGTTTCCTCAGTCATGACTTATCAGTGGGCCCCATAAGACATTAATCTCTTTAAAAAGAGTAGTGACAAATCCTATGTACGTAATCTACGTTTCTGAATACGCGCTGCGGCATACCCCAAACAAAGCCTGTATACCATCCTTATTTCATATGGCTTAGGACAATGCATCAAAGTATGCGGGTTCACATATGCAGAAAATGTAATACTTCAAGTCGAAGGATAGTTATACCCGTGGTCGCGCTAAAGATGCTTAGAGCATGAACTAAAAGTTCAAGCAACATCTTTAGGATGGGTCAGTCCGACATCCTATTATCTCTAGATAATATCTGCCCATGTGCGGATGCGAACACACCGTCATTGACTATGAGACTAAGTCAAACATCAAACACACACTAGTCTCACATGCATTAACGATATCCCACTCTCGTTAATACTCGACTATGGACATTCAGATTAATATTTATTTCAAGATGTTAGTCTCATCAGCAGAATAACACTATCTGATAAACATCTTTAAAGATAAATCTAGGAATATAATATTTGTTTACATTAGCATGAGATGTGTAAACATATTATATCTGCCTATAGATGATAGAATAATGATAAACAGTTGGCCATCAGGGCACAACTCCAACAGGCTGCATTTTCTAAGATTTGTGGAAGAAATAGCTTAGTATTTTCCTTTGTATGAGTGCCTTTAAATTTCGGCCATAGGCCTATTGTAATGCTCAGCACATTATTCTTCATTTTAAGATAGAAATACACTTGTTGTATTCTGTTTTCAAACCCTAATTTCTATATCTTAAGGTTAGTTCCCTTACGTGTGAGTGTTAGGTTCTAGATATTTGATTGAGTGTGTAATATCTTGATTGAATTCTAGATTCAAACCCCAAGTGAGGATTAGAGTGAGTTATATCTCTTAAAACCAACTTGGTCTATCTCCCTTTACCAAAACACCTCCTTTTCGTTCTCTCAAACTGCCCTATAATCGATTATCAACTTGGTAAAATCGATTATCATCTCACGTAAAACATCTGCAACCATCAATAATCGATTTACATACCCTTGTAAATCGACTATTACCCCTTTCTGAAAATCTCTGCCAAAATCCCTCAAGAAGCTGAACCCTTCAATAATCGATTATCTCTTCTAGATAATCAACTATCACCTCTCCTGCAATCTTAAAACCACTTTGTCCCTCAAAGCACCCAAAGCTAAGATATATCATTTGGTATCAGAGCTTGTTGTTGAACATCTCAAAGGACCTAGTACACACTTCGTTTCCTTCCCTCTTTCCTTCCTTTCTTTCGGCCAAAACCACCACTCCTCTTACCATCACCTTTCATCACCATGTCAAACCAATCCCAAACCCTCACCAATGAAAAACTCCAAGCTTCTAATGCTGCCCCAAAGGCTCAAGTTGAGTACTTAGCCAAACAAGTGGCTCAACTCACCAAAATGAAGCTGAAGATGATGGACACCCCTGAAGAGAGTGATGAAGAACAAGAGCTGGAAACACACCCTACAGGAGATTCCAACACCAACACCGGAGGTATCACTCATGTTGTACCCGAGACCCGGGGTCTTATCGAGTAATTAATTTGATGGTGGATTTACGGAGGAAATGGAAGCAAGATGGAAACAACTTTGAACTCCAAAGTTCAGAAGCTTGTGATAGTCGATTATCACTCCCTGATAATCGATTAACAAGATATGATTTCCAAACCACGAATGTTCAGAGATGCCCGATAGTCAATTATCACTTTTATGATAATCGATTATAGGAAATGGCTGGATGAAATATGAAGGTGATGAAGGAGTTCTTTTTGGTATTTTGATTTATGAAGGTAGAATAGAATGTGGCTTAGGAATAGAAAATGGAGAGGAATGAAATGGATAGAAAACAAGGATGGATAAACCAAATAATGAATAAGAGAAAAACACACTCTTACTATATTTGGGGCTGATGGATAAACCAAATAATGAATAAGAGATAAAACACTCTTACTATATTTGGGGCTGTTATCTATTTCACACAATAATAATCACTACTAATGTATAAAATAGACTCCTAACACACACTCAAAAGTAGCCAACTTTAGAGATATTTCATTAGGAAATTTGGTTAAAATAGCATCACACTATTTTAAGAAAATACTAAAAAGAGTAACAAAGTTTATCATTCAATAATCAGTTGTGTTACAAAGGCCTAAGGGCCGAATTATATACATGATGGGAAAGGGAGTAAACACTACAAATGAAAGTAAAAACAAACTAGGAAACTACCAAGCATCATCCCTTCACACAAATCAGCATTTGTTCTTATCTCATTAGTGGATTGCATTCAAAGGAAAAAAAGGGATTTGTTTGGCTTTGATGGGGCTGGTTTTATTCGGCCATGTGTAAGGAAAATACAAGGGGATTATGAAACTAAAATAAGGTGTAGATTTGTCTTGTTTGATAGTGGGAAATTTGGCCATTGTGGGCCAAGACAAAGAAAATAACATGGCCTGATTTTTAGTGAATAATAGGACAAGAAGTTACTATTCAATCAATGACCTTTTGCTGATTTTTGTCCCTTTGTTGTGTGTGGTGATTTAGGCCTGATTTTGGGAAGAAAATGGTAGGGAATTTCATGGGAAAGGTGTAGGAAAATAAAGGGAAGGTCTTATTTAATGAAAGGAACAAAAGAAGTAGAAAATAACACACAAGGTTTTTCTTTTTTTTTGTCCTCATTTTCGTCCAAGGTTAGAAAGGAGGGTAAAGACTTTATTTTGATTATCAAATGAAGATAAAATACTTTTGGATAATTTGGGAGAGGTTGGGATTTTAGTGGAGCCATCTAGGGGTACATCATACTCCCCTTCTTCGAAGAATGTTTGTCCTCAAACTTTCGCACCACCGTGACCGATTGGGTTTCATAAAAGAATTCCCGGATCAAATGGGAAATTCAATGAACCACCAATAATGAGGTTCCTTTCGGAATTAGTGGGCACCTCGTTGTGTAATTTCCAGAACATGATGCCATTCCTTGTAAAAACCTACTTCAAACATACCTCTGAGATGAGAAAAGATTTTCCTTCATTGAAAAGAGGATAATACTCTATGGAAATCACTTCCTAGAATATATAACTTCCGGTGTGGCTTTCTCTATAACTACCTCATCAACGAAGTCATCATGAATAAGGAAAGAATCATTATAGTGTGATTCTTCCTGAGCATTAGAAGTCGGTTCTTCTACAAAGACGTCATCTTCATCTTTGGCAGGAATAACAAAGACGTCTTCCTCATTGACAAATTGGTCACATGAGCTTTTCTTTTCCTCTTCATGAATCATGACCCACTCTTCATATGGTATGGCATACTTATTTGAACATTCCCAATGGCCATGACCACAGCCACCACACATGAAACATCGTCGAGTAGCCCATTGCAATATTGCTCCATTTGCAAGGATAATTTCCAGATTTCTGAGGTGTCTTTTAGAGACCATATCTCACAAACCGGAGATTGGAATTAGGTAATTCCAACTCTCAAAGCTAGATATTGACGTCCATAAAGACATATCGAAAATTTGGAGCCATTAAAGAACGTTTGCTAGCTCTTTGGAGACAAATTCAGCAAGGTAGATAGAATTCGCCCAGGATTCTGTTATCAACTTCGGAGGGCGTATCTCACTAACCACAACTCGGAATTGAGTGAAATCAGCGGCCACGCGTAGCAAAAACGTCAAACTTTCATACTAAAAAATTTCACTTCCAAATCTGTTGTGTAGCTTCCTCCGTGCTCAATTCTTTGGAGCTGAAAGTTTCTGGAAAAAATTTCAGCAACCTCTTTCGGGTAACGTTTGTGAAGCCGGTCCTCAAGGATATCGTCGAGACTTAAGGAAGTCTTCGAATATGGCTTTGATACCAGATGTTGTACCCGAGACCCGGGGTCTTATCGAGTAATTAATTTGATGGTGGATTTACGGAGGAAATGGAAGCAAGACGGAAACAACTTTGAACTCCAACGTTCAGAAGCTTGTGATAGTCGATTATCACTCCCTGATAATCGATTAACAAGACATGATTTCCAAACCACGTACGTTCACAGATGCCCGATAGTCAATTATCACTTTTATGATAATCGATTATAGGAAATGGTTGGATGAAATATGGAGGTGATGAAGGAGTTCTTTTTGGTATTTTGATTTATGAAGGTAGAATAGAATGTGGCTTAGGAATAGAAAATGGAGAGGAATGAAATGGATAGAAAACAAGGATGGATAAACCAAATAATGAATAAGAGATAAACACACTCTTACTATATTTGGGGATGTTATCTATTTCACACAATAATAATTACTACTAATGTATAAAATAGACTTCTAACACACACTCAAAAGTAGCCAACTTTAGAGATATTTCATTAGGAAATTTGGTTAAAATAGCATCACACTATTTTAAGAGAATACTCAAAAGAGTAACAAAGTTTATCATTCAATAATCAGCTGTGTTACAAAGGCCTAAGGGCCGAATTATAAACAATGATGGAAAGGGAGTAAACATTACAAATGAAAGTAAAAACAAACTAGGAAACTACCAAGCATCATCCCTTCACAAATCAGCATTTGTTCATCACTTTCAGTCCCATTCTCGAGATTAGCACTTTATACTTCAGCTCCAAGTTCTAGTTTATCATTATAGTAGTTTTAGAATTATTTTTGGAGAAATTCTACTCCCGATCTGTTCAAATCCGCTTGTAGAGAAGTTGTAAGTTTCTTTTATTTAATAAAATGCTGTTTTAATTTTTGTTTGCATAGTATGAGTTAGGGTCCGGATCTTTGGGTCCGGACTAGTTTGGTTGTTTATTTTTGGAATTAAATTAATGTTGGAATGATTAATCTATTGTTTTTACCTTATTTGGTTAATTAAACTCGTAAGATTTAATTGGCCATTTATTGAGAAAATATTATATGCCAAATGGCTATGATATTCAAGTGCAACAGATTAAGTACAAATCTAGAGATGGATGAGTAGTAATAGAAATATTATTATTCCAATTGTTAATTTAATATGATAAAATAGATCCAAATGATGTCCAGACCATAGGTCTAGATCTATACTTATACTATGTGAAATTTATTTATTATTTTTACTCCGCTCCTTCTATATTCGTTCCGAGAAGACTTTTATAAACCAATCCTAATCTTCGCCTAATTAGAGTAATTAAACTGATTCCCTTCGTCTACTCCTCGAGAGATACGACACTCGAAGAGAAAACTAACCCTTTACTGGGGAGGTTTACTACCCGAAAAATTACGATTGTCAAATGGCGTCGTTGCCGGGGAGTGGCACGGCATTAGTTTAGTTTCTTCTAATTAGCTTGGGTGAAGATTGGTTAGAACGATCTTCTCACTTCTTTTCACCAACCACCCATAATAATTAGTATGGATAACTCCAGTGGTTATTATGGTTCGCCTTTATTCTACCAATCACTAACCGCCCTCCGTTTCAAACCCATCCACCTTACCCCCCACATCAGTACCCATATAATAATGCCTACCAAGTCAACAATAGATCTAACTACTATACTTACCATTAGGAACCACCATGTGATATCCCCTTTAGAAACCTTGGATATTCTCCATACCAAGACACTGATGGGGATAATTATTATGAACCTCATGGAGATAACGATGACTATGACCAATATGGGCCAATGCACGATAATCAATCTGACCCGCTCGTCGAAGAAATAATAAGATTAGAACAGAAAATCTTCTATTTCGACGAGGTTTAGTCGTTGAAGGCTCCTAGTACGAACCACCTTACTCCCGTGACTACACTTTGTTTACTGAAGAACAAATTGAAGCAAACAAAGTGGCAATTCGAGAAAGAGCAAAACTTCTTGAATCAGTTCGGAAGAAAAGGGAGTTCGAAAGAAGATTATGCGAAGGATCAGAAATGATACAGAAAATGTTGGACGACTTTAAAAGAGAGAGACTAGAAGTTGAAGCTAAAGCTGATAAATTAGTCAATGATCTCTACAAGGCTGTCAAACTTAAACGCTCCTTCCAATCTCCAGACCAAATTAGGGAGGCTAATGAGACGCTAGAACTTAAGACCAACCTTAAACCACTCAATCATCAGGTCCCAGTTCTAGAAGACTCACCCAGACTAACACTATCACACAAACCCGAGAGCATAATAACCCTCGCTAGGGCTAGAGTGGTTATGTTACCTAAAACCCTTCCTAGCCAAAACCCAGCCAGCATACGCGAGGGACCTGACTCAAAACCACCTACGCCCATTCAAGAAAAGGATGAGGAAGTTCCGCCTACGGCAATAAACGATCATCTCCTTAATTCTGTTGAAGACACACTCCTAAAAGAACCTGTTCTAGAAGAGATAGAGCCCATTACTTACTCCTAAGACTATAATATTCAAGAATCCAAGGAGGAATCTATAGACAGAGGAATACTGTGCAGAGAAAAACCAACTTCATCTATGGAAACCTGTGTAAATAATGATTCATCTGAAGATTCAGACCATACTTTCTTTGATTTCTTACTTGACGGATATGACTATGTCTGCCCGAAGGATGGTTGGAACTTAAAAAGTTGGGATGAACTTCTGGTGAGCGACGACGAGGACTCTTCCTTGGGGGAAGGCACGGTTATAATAATTAAGCCACAAAAAGATAGTCAGCCTATTGAAGGCAAGGAAGAATTCAATATCGCTATAAGGGCCAACGATGTGGATCAACTAAGGAGACTTCCGCCACCACCCATCTACCTAGAGTCTCCGCCATACATCCTGTTGCCACCAAGCCGCAGGGATGAGTCAAGGATCCTGGACCTTGACCAAACAAAACATCAAATAGAGTGGCATCAGAACAGAGTCAGAAGGACTAAAATTTATGACTCTCGGATTGGAAAGTCACGGAAAAAGTGGGTGAGCGTCGAGCTACGGACATTAAAGAAGCACTTAACGGGAGGCAACCCGTCATTCAGATAACTAATTTATTTAAGGAGACTTCCGCCGCCACCCATCTACCTAGAGTCTCCGCCATACATCCTGTTGCCACCAAGCCGCAGGGATGAGTCAAGGATCCTGGACCTTGACCAATCAAAACATCAAATAGAGTGGCATCAGAACAGAGTCAGAAGGGCTAAAATTTATGACTCTCGGATTGGAAAGTCACGGAAAAGGTGGGTGAGCGTCGAGCTACGGACATTAAAGAAGCACTTAACGGGAGGCAACCCGTCATTCAGAAAACTAATTTATTTACATATGCTTATTTGTTATTTACTTGCCGCACCAGTTGGGGTCAAGGTTTTACTCGTTTTATTTTTCTATTCTACAGATGGATGTTGCTGGGATGATTCCGCATGGAAACCGCCACACATTGCAGAATATGGAAGAGCTCCCTTTGCACTCAGACGAAGCGAAAAAGAAATTTCTCACTTGGGGAAACACTAAGATGCTCCAGTCCCCCATGGTGTTGGACCCTGCATATCTGGATGAACTAGGGCACTGGCAGGACATTGATGACTTGTTGTATGACCCAAAATGGAGAATCCTGTTGTTCTTGCACGCATCAGCCAGCCTGGAAGCCACCATCGAGTTCCTTTGTTCTCTCCGCTTCCTCAATGACGGTGAAGAGGCAAGGTCAGCAGCCAAAGTCACCTCCACCACAAGGGTCACATTCACTCTGATGGGTAGACTGCTGAACCTAACTATGGTGGATTTAGGGTGGATAAATGTTCTATACACGTTCGATGAAACGAGGAGCCTGGCCTTTTCCGATCTTCCCGACCAGTTGGACCCCGAATTCAACGTTAAGAAGTTCTGGCAAGCTCACGGGCATGGACGATTTCACGGTGGAGCAAGCCTAGCTAGGAATTGGGCGCGTCCATCTTGGAGAATTTTGCATCATGCATTGACTCACAGCTATTTTGGCCGTTCACACAGCCCCGACGTGGTGTATGAGTCTGATATGCTGTTTTTTGGAGTTTGGAGGCGCGCGTACGAGTCAATTTAGCAACCTTTGTGGCTCAATTCTTGTTTGCTCAGTCTACTTGCGACCGCCAGTTTGTCTTGTGTGGACCAATGGTTACACTCCTGGCTCGAGGACTATGTATGGCAATTCCTGATGTCCTTCTAGAAGCTGCGAGCATGTTCCAACCACCGACAGGGTATTTGGCCCAAATTGCCTAAAATAAGGAAGACAAGGAGGCACGTCCAAGACAGTAGCATAACATTCCCATGTCTCTTCGGGAGCTTTCTCAGGCTATGTTCGCATTTCAGGATTCTGTGGACTCTCATTTGAGGAGCATAGAGACGCTCCTTCTCACTCAGCAGTGGCAGGTTGAGGAAATACTCGACCACATCCGGGAGCAGGGAGTAAAGAAAACGGGGCATGAGGCTGGCCCCAAGCAAGAAAAACGCCAGGGACAGTGAGATCCCTAATTCTCCTATTATTGCATTCAAAACATTAATTTGGATATTTAAATGATTTTATTTTGGAATTCTTCTTTGTTAACTCTTAAAACCATATTGAGGATATTTTATGCATCATTTCATATTTACATGTTATGGTTATCAATTATTTCAATCTTCATCATTGAATCTTGTAAGTATCTAGATAACTTAGTAATTGCATGCGAGCATTTCAACCATTAACTCCAATTCAAAAACACTTTTAACCACGAGGGCGTGGTTTCGTTTAAGTGTGAGGAGGCAAGAGTTTCTGGTTGAAATGATCTTTTTAGAAATTGTTTTGTCTATGTATTATTAGGAAATGATTTTATAAATAGCCATCAATTTTATTTGTTTGATTAATTAATCTTTAGTTATCACCCATAAAAATTGGAAATTTTTAAAACTTTTTGTCAAATTTCTATTTCTACTCTAACCTTTTGGGAATGTTTTCTAAAATGATTTGGGATAAATTCACAATTGACTAAGAGTTTTTAAGATCAATCAATTTTAAGTTGCTTTATTGAAAATCTTTTTGCAAATACTCATATATCTTTTAGGCAATGAGTATTTGTTGTTTCTTAAAAAGAGTTATTTTCGAAGTATAAGAGGTGATGTTTCAAAGCATACTTTGGTGAGACCGAGATTCTTGTTTTAGCCAAAAAGCAGTTGGTTCTAGGTCAACTAATGAGGCGTGGTGAGTATGCCAAAAAGCACGTGGTTTTATATTGAGTGTTAGAGTCAAAAAGCATTCGGTTCTATGTCGTGTGATGAGACTTTCCAGAGTGAATACCCAAAAAGCTCGTGGTTCTACGTCACGGGATGAGGTTATAAATTTTTCTTGTGTCAACATGACAAATTTATGCTAAAAAAAATTAAACCCTTATACTTTGACTTATACTTTTGCAAGAACATGTTTTCCAATTTAGCCATTAAAAATTATTTCGATCTTTAAAATACTCTTATAAACGTAGTTATCCTAAGGAAAGTTTGGAAAATTTTGGTTGTTTAGGTTGGTGTAAAAATATTGGTTTGATAAAATTCTTTTACATTTCTAACAATATGGGTGAGAATCTAAAGATTCATTTCTTCTTAACAAAAAGGTTGATGACTATCTTATTCCTTCTTCCCTGTTGAATATAAGTGAGCCCTAGAGGCCAAATTATGATTCCATATCTATATTATATCAAGAACAATAGGCCCTAAAGATTGTTTAAGTCGTCTCGTGTAATTTAAACATAGCTCCAGAGAGTAGGCGCTCTAGTAACATAGATGAGAACTACGACGTTCTAATTATGAGGCTATTACAAAGATAGAGGTTACGTCTAAAATATTATGACAATACGGACATCATAATATACCAAGGCTAATACGTATGAGATGAGATAGCTGTGTCTCATAGGCTATAGATAAAGTGTTATCTGAATCTATACGTAGGCAACCATATTGGATATGTTGCTGGATTGACTCGCTATGAGAATAATATATGGGTTTGAGTTAAAGTGTTAATATTATTCTCATGCGACCATTAGTATAACTATCCTTTGACTTGAAGTCATTACATTCTTTGGTAAGTTGAGTTGTATACTTTGAGGCATGATTTATGCCATCTGAAATATTGGTGGATGTACAGTTATGTTTTGGGTATGCAATGAAACTTAAGCGAAGATGTGAATGACGTAGACAGAATTTATCCTTTCTTTAACGAAGTATAATATCTTAGGGACTACTGATTGATGTGACTTGGGAAGTGCATGGACATGCCCAAATAAATATGTTATTTCAATCCCACAAGTCAATCGAAGAATCAGTAAACCATCGATTTAACTTTAACAAGGTGACACACCCCATACCTTGAGTTAAATCAAGATATTAGTGATAAAGGGATAAGGGTTATACAAATAGGATATGTCGTTTAAGGAATTGTTCCAAGAGCTTTAATCTATAATTTGGGGGTGATAATGTGTTGCTAGATACCGCTTATCACTTGTCGTATTTAATCGATACTATGGCCAATTTTATGGATGCCTAGAATAGGGTCACACACATAGAACATATGAAAGTGTAGAATATTTAAGTGGAGTAAAGTTGCACTTTATTTATATATTGTGTATATTATATTGTGTGACAATATGATTAGATACACAAACACATATATAAATAAATATTTATATTTGAACATTTTAATTATGTGATAATTAAGTTTGTCAAATATATTTAATGATAATAAAGTATATATATATTCGGATACATACATACATACATACATATATATATATATATATATATATATATATATATATATATATATATATATATATATATATATATATATGTGAATAATAAATTGTATTAAGTAACAATGCACTAGAAGACATCAGGGAAGAAAGAGAGGGGCCTATTCTATATACGCACTGAGAAGGAGAAGACAATGCCTTCAATGACAACATACTCAAACCTCTTCAAATAGATTACTCCAGGATGTTCAAAACACCTTTCGATTTGGGGAGAGAATCCAAGGGTAGGCATACATACTCTCCTTCTCAAATAGTTACTCGAAGTAAGGCAAAGATTTTGGAAGAAGGAAGAAAGAAATCCCCATTGGTATGGGAGGTCAGATCAGAGGGTTCGGAGATAAACTTGGCAGAAGATATTAGGAATTTTTTCAAGGAATGCTGTCCAAACAAACCTGAATTAGCAACCAAGAAGCAGCCCACAAACAAGTCTTTAACCAAAAACCAAAAGAAAAAGTCTAAAAAGAAACTTAAGAAGAAATTAGCAGGAGGGCAAGAAAAGGATGATTCTGATTAATCTTGAATGGTTTTAGGTTTCTGTTAATTTAGGCTTTTACTGCTGTGCTCTCTGGCATATGGTTTTTTTTTTTTTTGAACAGGTTGTCTTCCGGGTGTGTTTGTTTGCTCTCAAATGACCTCTTGGTGTTATCCGTGTAGTTTGGATTTCTATTTGGCATGCTCTGTTGGGTCAGGACTTCTAAACATTTGGTTTCCGGCACATGGATAAACCTAAGTCTGCTTCATATGCTGTATGATTATTGGTTTTTATACGGATGTTTTTCGGGTTCACACAGTGGATGTATGCATATCTTCAATTTCATTTGGGTCTTCAGTGTATGGTTGGCTCTCTTTGGCTGGATTTTAGCCATATAACATCGGTCTTTTGGTTTTATTGGCTTCCCCCCTCATGTTTGTTCCTACTTGCCTACCTGGCTGGGTATGTTTAGCTTCAGAGAAGGGGATTCATTTTAATTTTTATTAGAATTATTTGAACCTAGTCTGGTGAAGAGTAGTCTACAGAGCTGCTGGTTTTACAATTTGCTATGACAAATAGGGCAAAATAAGCCTTAAATGCAGGTCAGGACTAGTCTGCTTGGCTCAAGCAATGGCCCCACCTCTGGGTAGTGAAGGAACTGATCCAAGAGAATATTGACAAACAAAGCTTGTTATCTAGTGCTTTGTTTCTTTTTTTAGTACCATGTACTAAAAGCATTCATAGAATGGTGGGGATGGTCTAGATGTTGTCCAGTGAAGGTACTCCAATGAAGGAACTGGTGGGGACGGCCTTGTTATCCAGTTAATGAACTCCATGTAGCCTGCTCCTTACTCGTTACGTTATCTAGTGCTTTGTTTCTTTTTTAGTAGAATGGATTATGCTATGTGTGCCCCAAGGTTTGTACCCCGCAGTTTTGCACCAACACTTTGTGTTGGTGTATACTTTGTGTTGGTGTAAAACTACAAGCCTGTGGTGTACAAATGTGGTATATTTTTTGGTGTAAGTGTAGCATGATCCTAGTAGAATTTACTTTTTATGCTTTGGCCTAGGTGTTGGGGACGGCCAACCCCTACTCTTGTACTTTTTTCTTGATCTTTTAATAAAACTTCTCTTTCAAAAAAAATAATATATGAATAATAAATTGTTTATTATTTTAGTATTATTATTAAGGCACGAAATATATATTTATATATATTTAATATTTGGACATTTTAATTATATAATAATTAAGTTTGTCAAATATTATTTAAGGAACAAAATATAACATTATTATATTTATATATGTATATGTGCGTGTATATAATATGTATATATATCGCCATATATATATGTATATATACGTTTATGTATATTTTGGATATACAAAAAATAAATGTTATATTATTTATTTTGTGTTAATTATATGATAATTAAAGTTGACAAAATAAATTGGAAGCTTCTTTAAAGTGCCATTAGAAATTTTCCTAAGTAGAATAGGAATGGGATTTGATTTCTTTCCTAAACTCTAAAAAGTACATTCCTATTAGGAATATGAATGAGGATTATGCTCCTTATAAATAGGAGCTCATCCCACCCCTTTTAGACTACTAGATATTTCGGCCCTACCATAGTTTTAAGAGAGAAATTTTTGTTTTGTTCTCTTAATACTTTACACCAAATATTTTATATTTTAGAAATATTCTAGAAAAAAATTACTAACATGATTTTCTCTAGAACACTCTTCAATGTTCGTGTGTCTCAACTGGAAGTCATATACTTTTGTGGCTAGCTCTTGGATCAATCCATCAACCTACACATATCGTTGCTTGCTCACCAAGAAAGGTACATTTCTAAACAATAACTTATAATAATCATAAGAGGTCCTGGGTGGATCTACGTTTGGACATCAAAATTCTTTTACATTTCTAACAATATGGGCGAGAACCCAACAGTGGTAACAGAGCCGACTTATGAGAATTATAAGTTTTGTAGATCTAATTGCCGTTAGGGTTTTGATAATTAATAAAATAAAATATATGTGTTTATATTTTCAAAAATTGTCCAAAATTCAAGAAAGTGCCAAAAATGATTCTCGACTTTATAAAATTCGAAAATATGATTTTTGAATTTAATTTTGGATTTATTTTTATTTTCGGGTTAATGGGTTAAAAACTGTTTTAACCAATTAAAATATTTCGAAAATTCGAAAATTAAATTTTATTAAATCTGAGACTTTCAAATATGATTTAAAAGACCTCTGGATATTTAAAATTAATTTTCGGAATTGATTTCCTAATTTATAAAGTATTGTTTGATTTGTACTTAATTTGATTAATTACAAGATAAATACAAAACAAATTATGGAAAAATAATTTTAATCACTATGATACTTTAAAATATGATTTTAAGAGATATGGAAATTTAAAATTAATTTTCGGAATTTAGGTTCTAATTTATAAGGTATTAGTTGATTTGTAGTTAATTTGATTAATTACAAGATAAATACAAAATAAATTATGAAAAATAATTTTAATACTTCTGGAATGTTAAAATATGATTATAGGTACTCTGGAAAATTAAAATAAATTTTCGGTTTTGATTTTCTATCTTTCCCGATTTAAATAATCTTATTCGGTAATAATATAGATTAAAACGAAAAGGACAATTAAAATTCGGGATTATAATTTTATGAACATGAGATTATGATTTTCAGAGTTCATAAAAGTTCTTAGAATTAAATTTGTAATTTAAGTATTTAATTAAATTTGTAATTTAAGTATTTAAGTATTAATTTAGAATAATGATTTTTGGAACAATTATCGTACACGAAAAATAATTTTGGAAAAGAATCCTTGCTTTGTAAGCAAGGGGTATGAGGTTTAAGAAGAGATTCTTTTGTAGACCTTCTTGTGACTTTGGTCAAGCCGTGTTCTAGGCTTCCCCATCCTTTCTTTACTTATTGTACTCCCCGGAAGGCATGTCTTCCGTATGAGGGGCTGGCGTTAGGCCTTGGTTTGGTCCTCCCCTCACTTTGTAGTGACGAATATATCTTAATAAAACTCGGTAAAGGTTGCCTAAAAAAATGCAGGAGTTAGAGCATAGAAGCTCTAAGTAAATTCTAAGTAGCGAACAATTCTGCAAGCATAAGAGAGAAACACTTGATTATAAAAATAAATAAATAGGCCCTTATAAATCTTAACACATAGTGTTTATTGTAAAATGTTAGTCATATTTTGTAGTCTTTTACTTTTAAAGTTGAACTAAACACAAAAATATGAATATGGATTTCTTTTAAATTCCCAGTTAATCTCTAGGATCAAAATACAACCTTAGAGTTCATTGAAATCTTCTAAATTCCAAGACTATATTTCTTCAATATCACAAATGTTGATAGTTATAATAAACACCTTACGGTTAGGCAAAAAAGGAAATCATGATGATGCAAAACACACACAATTCATGGCAGGGCCAGATTAGTTGTGCTTTTGTGCAAAGTTACATGAAACCTCAATTAATTGAGGTGGCTGTAATGAAATTAATAGTCAATTAATTTATTTAAAATTAAATTCATGCAAAAAAAATCAATAGAACATGGGTAGAACTTAGTGTTTTTAGAGATTTAGTGCATGACCTAAATAAAGTTTTTGCTCAAAAATGTTATCCAATGAACAAAAGTATCTCACCTGCTGCCATTACTTCGTCAAGAACATCTTTAAAGTGATGTGAATCCAATTTTGGATCTGAGCAAAGCACAGAACACAACCTGTATGTTTAATGACAAAATCAATTCAAATGATCTTCAAAGTGATGTTTAACTGATATTTTCTGGCTGAATGTGAACACCTATTAAACCGCAGTATAGATAAGGATATTAGTACACGTGATAATCAACCAATCAACCCTTTAATTTATTAGTATAGAATTTGTGAGATCAGAGTGCTCAATGATGTGTGGTCTAACCTTGAAGAGGATCAAAAGCACCGCAAATACAATATCATGAAAACCCATAAACCTAAAAAAGTTAAGGCAAGCAATTGGTTGACCATATTATTAAGCAAAAGTCAGTTATATTATATGGATCAAGTGTAAATAAAGAACGAAAGCTCAGTTGTGAGAACTCTACCGTCAGATATGTATTATCTCCCTATAAATGTAGCTTGTATAGAATGCCATATTGAAATATACAAAACCTTAAACTAAGAATGGTCTCCATCAGCCTCCCCCCTAATGTTCGAAGATGAGCCTGTTAAGAAAGTAGAGAAGATGAGAAGAAATCACTGAAATAGGCAAGATTGCATTAAGATAGAAGAAAAATTACTATACCAGCTCCTCATCCCACCAAGCCTCCCAACTTTCTTCTCCTTTAACTCCAATTCCACCTCTATACAGAAGCCAGTTTGTCCAATCTCTGAAGTCCTCCACCGTCCTGCAATGGGCCAGAAAATGAACTTTTAAAATGAAACAACACAAAAGCTTATGTACAGTGTGGAATCATAGTGAGGTAAACTTACTTTTGCCACTCAAAGCTAGATGGATTAAACAAATATGGTGCAAATAGCCAAGAAATAGCCAAGAACCAGCTGCTAATCGTGAGAAGAATGTACGAAAAAGCACCTGTGCTAAAGCCATACGCAAGGTGTACAACCAACAAAAGTACAATCTCCATTCTGAAAAAGTGAAATAACAATATTTAGAGCTTTCCCCAGAGTAGGGATAAGCATAATATATTAAAATGCATGCGTATGCGGAACAATAGGGACATAATTACAAAAGAACAGGATACGAGAGAGAGACCCCTTGGCAAAATGACTGCGGGCATAGAGCCTATAGCTCTCAGAAAACTTAATGTGTCGAACAATAAAGCCCCTACCAGTTGCTTGATACTGTTGAAAATAATAAAAGTTACTCCCTCCGTCCCCCTAAGATGTTCTCATTTTGACTTTTGGTAGTTTTTAAGGAGAATTGAAAAAAAGTGAAAGTTTACCATAATACCCTTAATAAAAAATGGGTGGAGTGTATTAAATGAGGTGGGTGAGGTGTAATAAATAAAGTAAGTAGGGGTAGTTGTGGTATTTTAATTGTTAAAAAATGAAATGAGAAGATCTATTGTGGACAAAGAAAAAGGGCTATTGGGAAGATCTATAGGGGACGGAGGGAGTATTTGATAAGCTAATGTTAGTTAGAGTAACATGTGCATGTAGAGCTTAATAGCAAACATACCCTAGCTCCACCATGAAGAATAGTCCGTCCAAAGTAATGTGTTCTTGTGCCCAAAGAGAAAGTGAAAAACATGGTACAAAGTTGAAACTGCATTGTTACAAAACTAACAATTGCCTGCAGTGAAAGAATAAAAGGAGCCAATAAGAGAAATGCATGTGATTTTGAAAACAATATACTCTTAGGAAAAAGATAGAAGAGCACACTCATCAATAAGCACATAAAAGAAACATGAAAGTCACAAACATTAAAAGGTTAACAAAATTTTCATACTTTACCTGAGATCTTGAAGAGATCAGTATTCTTACAGTTAAGTAATATTTTTCAATAACATTTTATAATTTTAATATGATGACAAATTTTTCCAATACATTTACGAAGTATGTAGTAATATATTTACTACATACTATGTAGTAATATATTTTTAAAACATTTACTAATTAAATGGATTTAGACAAGTTTTTTTCTTCACAAGTTTTTGTGAGATGACATTGGCTTTCCTAAAATACCCTGGACCCAACCGTCTCTATCTACTACTCTACGCCATCAGCCCACCTCCTAGAACTTGCGGCTCGTTCCATCCGGCCATGCCTCCATGAATCGCGACTCCAGGGCATACTCCGCCACCGGAATAGCCGTCGCTGCTGACCACCATCACCACAAACTTGAATCAGAGTCCTTAGATCTGACAGAGAGCCATCACAGCTTAAACCCTCAGATCAAGAATATCTGCACTTGCTTACACCCTTAGATCCATCCAAATCAAGCATGGGCTACACACTTACACCGTGCGGTGAGATCCAACGGAGATGACACCACCCGACAGTGCAGTTCCGTCGGAGATGCAATGCCATGCTACGCCTTAGGTCCTGCTCAAAAGGGGAGGAAGACGAGTTGAAATAAAGAAGATGACGAGGACTTGAAGGAGGAGGTTGGGTGGAAGAAGACAAGTTTGGAACGGGGGGGATAGATATGTTGTGAGTACAACACTTTACATTTTAAAAACGCCAAATAAGGAAATGGGAAGCCCCAAGGTAACTGAGAACAAAATTATTAAATGGAGGGAGTATATAAAATATTTAGTTTGTCCAATAATTTAGCTTCGAGTCATGTGGGAAGAAACATTGTCAGACATGCTAAATCAATGTTTAAGCTTTGAGAACATAATGAACTAAATCAAAATGAAAAATTGAACTTCTCTCGTCTCTTAACTTCCAACGGCGTTTTAATGCATCAACACATCAAGAGTTTAACGATACAGCCTCTGCTTTCTTAAAGGGTAAGGTTACGTACATCTTGACTCCCCACACCCCCCAACGGAGTTGGGATTAGGCTGGGTTTAATGTTGATGTTTTTTGTGGCAAACGCAAAATTGGCAGGCACTGATCTGGCATTTATTTCCAAAGAAATGAATAACAATTATACAAAACAGAAACTTTTTGAAAAAATAGCGGCATTTTGAAGAAATGATAACAGCTGAAAATCAAGAGATGAATAACATACTCTCAGGAATCCTTGTTCCAAGAAGAAACCCAAAATCATTGGCACTGCACTAAATACACCAATCTGAAAAAGAAACCGCATTGAGAGCAGCATTTAGTGCAGCATTATCAAATATATCTGCTCTTTCTTGAATCGTTTCACCAACCCCAGATTACGCCTGAGACGAGAAATTCAGGTGCATCCATCAGGAATATAGCTTGTAAAATTTAACAATTACAGTACATCAGATGGTTTTCGTCCATTAAGGCATCAATGGCAGACCGCCTTACTGCCTAAGCGTCGATTAGGCGACGCCTTAATAACCATGACTTAGTGATAAAAAAAATGTAGTTATGTATCAGAACATACCAAATAGGCTCTCCCATAGAGAAAACTGTAGGCATTGAGCACTGTTAACTACATAAACAAATGATAGCGAGCCATTAGATACATGAGGCAAATAGACATTTACATGTTCAAGTAGAATTTAGTGCTAAAAAGTATGTAGTAAAACAAAACTCATACTTTCGAAGGACTGAATTTGGGTGTGAATTTTGATGGCGAAGAATTAGATAATTGAAGTATTGAAATCGGAAATACTTACGTTGGAGGAGAAGGTGGTGAACATGGTTGTCAGCGGAGAAATGGTAATGATTGGCACACCACCCTACTATGCCCACATACAGAATACACAACTCAAGCATGCCTAATCTCCCAAGACGAAGTAGAAAAAAGCGAATGAGCTGATTTCTTACCCGAGGGGCCTTGGTGGCCATCAAGCAAGAGAGAGGCCATTGAGTCGGGGTCGCGTGGCTTCCTTTCACGCAGATTCTTTAATTGCTTATTGTGATTCTCTAAACCAATCCTCCATATCCATACACTGATTCATATAAAAACAATAAATTATATCGTAACCTAACACATTTACAACACAAAAAGTTTCAGAATGAGATAAAAGGATCTACATTCATTCACATACAATTAGCTACTAAGATGTTAGAAGAGATTACTGGAGTTTGCAGGATGAAGATGGGAAAGCTGATGATTCCCAAGACCAACACCAAAGCCATATAAATTTGCTTTCCTGATAAGCTCTCTGCACTCACAAACAAAAACAAACCAATATGCAATTCTAATAGTGATACAGGAGAAAAAGAAACATAAGAACAGAATACTTAAGCTTAAACCTACTTGAAGAAACGTACCAAGTATATTAGCAGAGACATTCTTCCCTAATCTCATCCACCATCCCAATCCATCTCTGTCTTAATATAACTAGATTCGTACCCGTGCGATGCACGGTCAGAAATTTAACTTTAAATTTATGCAAAAATGTTATTACTATGTATAAAAAATTCATTGAAATAAAAATAATGAACAGGAACTACAGAGTATTTTAGATTCAAGCAAAATAAAAATTAAGAAAATGTTATATAAAATTATTCATGGTATATTGATCAGAGATGCAGAAAGGTATAATATAGATACAAAGTATCAATAATGTAGAACCAATGCATAAAAACTTCTTCAAACTTTTATTCAAGTTCTAGAGTAGTACATAAAGAAAACATGATTATAAATACAATGACAAATCAAAAGCATTGCAAGTCACTTGAAAATTTAAGTTATCTCTCGGAGATAGATAACGAAATAAACATTCTTCTTTGAACTAAATTCATAAATCAAAAGTCTACATATATTTTTGCATCCCATCCAAATTTAAACATTTTACCTATCTGATTTTTTTAATGTAATGCTAAAATTTCACCATACGAAGTTATCTTTTGAGAAAGAGTAGTACCTTGCATTAATTTTTGGATGCAGTTCTAAAAATTTAAACTAAAAAATTCAATAACAAAGAAGCTACTGCCTAGATTCACCACAACCCTCCTCTACTTCTCCCTACTCTTTCTCCCTACTCTTCAGACCCTCATTAACCACTTATCTTCAATATATAGATGAAATAAATGAATATAGTATACATTATAAGAGAGATATGTAAATAGTAGAGGTTGCTGCTCTTTTGGTTTACCTTTGGTGTCATCAGAAGCTTGCAATCCATGTGTGGGCAGTCGAAAGCTCTCTAACAACCCTTGTTGATCCTTAGCCTGTGAATCTCACAACTCCGGAGTCGTGTGCTTTAGAAAATATATCTAACACAAAATAATATCATTCCAATTAAAATAGAACCAAAATCCTCCCAAAAGAAAAAGGAAAATTATTTTATAACTTAGCTTGTTCAAAGCTAGTAATACAACCCAGACCACTAAGTAGAAAATATAGGAATACAGAGTATAAAAGAACAGGTATACAGGTCTTTGCTAGCTTCCAAGCATGCGATGGAGTTTCAATATCTACGATGGAGTTTCAATATCTACTGAGCTAAATATATCTTTCTGTGTGTGATTTAGTTGCAATATTTTTAACATAAAAATCAGTAATACCAAAAATCATGGAGCAAGCCCATAATCTGGTAGCTCCATTTTTTGTAAGTTGAGAGAAAGAAAGAGTTCCATTTTTAGTGGTTCTACTAATTTGCTCTACATCACTATTACAAAATAAATTTCTAACATCAATAGGATAAGTACCCTTTCACTTGTAAGAACAAAAATGCCAAAAACCAATTGAGAACGAAGTGGTAGTAAAACAAAAAAAATACCCGGGCAGAATGAAACGCTATGAAGAAGCCGGTGAGAAATGAGAAGGCTTGCCGAGCACAAAACCTGGTTAAGGAGCGATGGAAAGAGCGTTGGTGCAATGTTTTTGATAGATCTATCACTCCAATTAAGGCACTACAGCTGCAAATTAAATTCAAGAAGACTAAATCAAAAAAAGATTTCGATAAATTTACTCCACGAATTGAGAGATCCAGATTTAAGTAGAGCAAATCAAAAAATTGAATTCAAGAAAAAAAATGCAGCGACAAAAGAAGCTCCCTGTTCCACTTTTACGGTGTGAAGCCGGAGAATGAAATAGAGATCCAGATTTAATGCGAGCAGAATGAATTAGAGTAGCCGCCAGACCAGACAAAAATAGCAAACCCTATTCAACTTTTACAGATCTAGCACAGAAAGAAGTACTAAAGCCGTATGAACAAAAACCCTAGCGGGGCTTCTCCCATACGCTTTCTCTTATCACCAAAGTTGCGGTCCAGCATAGCTTCGTCAAATATTTCATCGGAACGTGCGGTCAAAATTTAGCGCCTACTGTAGCTTATCAAATGGGCGGGAATACTATTCCTAAAATAATCTTACCATTTTCTATAGTAAAATACTCTGTATATGCATACATTTGAGAAAACAATAATGAGCAGAATAAATAGATAAACAAACTCTGGTCCTAAAGACAAAATCAGATTAACAGAATGATTCACAGAATAGATGTTCCTATTTCTTGCATCAACGCATGATGTACAGAACTTCATAATGTATATGGGATTCAATATATCCATAATAGGTGAGTTTCACAATATAACCACTCAAGATCTTCTAAAATTTACACAAAATCATACACTGAAGTAATTCCATCCAGATCACATCACCATCAAAATCAAGTCACTCAAGGAAAAAAAATTTACACACACACTATTCACTATTCTCACACTCCGTGAAGTCAAACTGTGAAAGAAGGGCACTATGTCATGCTATATTTACAACTCATTATATATTGAACTAAAATTTTTTATTCAACGAAGTTCTTAATTTTCATACTCCGCATTTTGGAAGAAATTTCATAATCTCCTAGGATTTAGTGCTAAAAAGTATGTGGTAAAACGAAACTCATACTTTCGAAAGACTGAATTTGGGTGTGAATTTTGATGGCGAAGAATTAGATAATTGAAGTATTGAAATCGGAAATACTTACAATGGAGGAGAACGTGGTGAACATGGTTGTCAGGGGAGAAATGGTGAGGATTGGCACACCACCCTACTATACCCCCATGCAGAATGCACAACTCAAGCATGCCTAATCTCCCGAGATGAAGTAGAAAAAAGCGAATGAGCTGATTTCTTACCCGAGGGGCCTTGGTGGCCATCAAGCAAGAGAGAGGCCATTGAGTCGGGGTCGCGTGGCTTCCTTTCACGCAGATTCTTTAATTGCTTATTGTGATTCTCTAAACCAATCCTCCATATCCATACACTGATTCATATAAAAACAATAAATTATATCGTCACATAACACATTTACAACACAAAAAGTTTGAGAATGAGATAAAAGGATCTACATTCATTCACATACAATTAGCTACTAAGATGTTAGAAGGGATTACTGGAGTTTGCAGGATGAAGATGGGAAAGCTGATGATTCCCAAGACCCTCACCAAAGCCATATAAATTTGCTTTCCTGATAAGCTCACTGCGGTCACAAACAAAAACCAACCAATATGCTTTTCTAATAGTGATACAGGACAAAAAGAAACATAAGAACAGAAAACTTAAGCTTAAACCTAATTGAAGAAACGTACCATGTATATTAGAAGAGACATTCTTCCCTAATCTCATCCACCATCCCAATCCATCTTTGTCTTAATATAATACTCTGTATATGCATACATTTGAGAAAACAATAATGAGCAGAATAAATAGATAAACAAACTCTGGTCCTAAAGACAAAATCAGATTAACAGAATGATTCACAGAATAGATGTTCCTATTTCTTGCATCAACGCATGATGTACAGAACTTCATAATGTATATGGGATTCAATATATCCATAATAGGTGAGTTTCACAATATAACCACTCAAGATCTTCTAAAATTTACACAAAATCATACACTGAAGTAATTCCATCCAGATCACATCACCATCAAAATCAAGTCACTCAAGGAAAAAAATTTTACACACACACTATTCACTATTCTCACACTCCGTGAAGTCAAACTGTGAAAGAAGGGAGTATATATCATGCTATAACTCATTATATATTGAACTAAAATTTTTTATTCAATGAAGTTCTTTCATACTCCATATTTTGGAAGAAATTTCATAATCTCCTAGGATTTAGTGCTAAAAAGTATGGAGTAAAACAAAACTCATACTTTCGAAAGACTGAATTTGGGTGTGAATTTTGATGGCGAAGAAATAGATAATTGAAGTATTGAAATCGAAAATACTTACGTTGGAGGAGAAGGTGGTGAACATGGTTGTCAGCGGAGAAATGGTGATGATTGGCACACCACCCTACTATGCTCGCATACAGAATGCACAACTCAAGCATGCCTAATCTCCCAAGATGAAGTAGAAAAAAGCGAATGAGCTGATTTCTTACCCGAGGGGCCTTGGTGGCCATCAAGCAAGAGAGAGGCCATTGAGTCGGGGTCGCGTGGCTTCCTTTCACGCAGATTCTTTAATTGCTTATCGTGATTCTCTAAACCAATCCTCCATATCCATACACTGATTCATATAAAAACAATAAATTATATCGTCACATAACACATTTACAACACAAAAAGTTTCAGAATGAGATAAAAGGATCTACATTCATTCACATACAATTAGCTACTAAGATGTTAGAAGAGAGTTGCAAATTACAATTCAAAGCAAACGAAGTCAACGTACACGAATTCCCAAAAACAAACTGGTAGAAGAAAGAACAAAAAAGTAGAACTGATGTTGTCCTATTCATTGGCATGGTTTTTCACCAAATTTCCCCGATTAAACGTCAAAAATAATAGCCAACTTCTTTCTATTTACACCTTAAACTTCAATTTTCCCAGGGTGATAGTGTTGATTGGAAGATGTACTACATAGCATCAACGGTTAAAAACCAGATTTCTATGCCATAAATCTGAACATCCAATTCCTTCAAATTTGGGTGTTCTAATTTCAGATTTCATATTTGTAGGGTACAAAATTTCAAAACATAGCATAAAAATCATTTTCTAACAACCAAACAAGAAAGGTTCTCAAAGAAGCAAAAGAAAATCTGCCAAACATAGGAAATGAAGAACGAAATCAGAAGCAATACCTGGGCGAAGTATGTGCGAAGCATCACTACACCGGCAAATATCAAGATTGGGAAAATCTGATTAAGAAAAAGATGGATAATGAATAAGAATCAACAGCGGTGTATCTGGTCGGCGAAGAAACGAAGGAAATAGAACTCCATGGACTGCAACCAGATTGAAACAGGCCACTGCCTAGTGCCTAGTGCGATGTGTGCGGCAGAATCAACGGCGTTAAGAAATAAACGAAAAAAAGACGATGCTCAACGCTATGGGCTCTTATAATGTAAGGGGAGATATATAAATATATATATATATATACACTAGTTTTTTACCCCGTGCTTCGCACGGGCTGGTTGTATGCACATGTTT